GTTCAATGTTTATATTATTATTGTTGTGATTATTATTGCTGTTGTTATTATCATTATTATTATTATCATCATCATTATTATCATTATTGTTATCACTATTATTATTATCATTATTATTATCGTTATTGTTACTATCATTATTATTATTGAATAACGCAGAGATTGGAACAGATGTATTTGATTAAAAAATCTGTGCATATTAATCACTCAGATGATGTCTCTGCTTTCAGAGAGCACTTCTGTCGTCGGCACGATTGGCAATTTTTGATGCAAATTGCGATGCCAAAGCGGAGAGGGAATGTGACACTCCGCCACCAACGAAACTTGAAGAAATTTTTGAGCAGCTAATTGCAAAGAAGCTTTTTGATCGCGCTTGGGAAATATGCAAGTAACGAGATTTCTCCCTTGACATCAGCCCATCCCTCACTTCACTCATCAGTTTTTTGTGCTTTTCTCAGCATTATCACATTCATTTCCGAGCAACAGTAAAAGCTAAGCACAAACACACCGACGTCAAAGCAGCACAAGGCTTGACATAACTGCTCGGATGGTCTTAGTATTCTTTGTATGAGCTTTTCGACTGTTTTGCATATTAAAATCGGAGAATCGGAACCTGTGAATAAAAGCTGAAGAAAGCAAAAGCAAATAAAAATTGAGAAAGTAGAAGCAAAAAACAGATAAAAGGCTTAGCAAAAGAAAGACTTACGGGTGAAAATTGCCTTGTAAAAGGCTTTTATGGAGTATTTGACTTCCTTATTTATGAAACTGACGCTTAGGTAAAATTGAGACCTCTCAGCTCACCTACACAGCTTTACCTTATTCGCTCTGAGTTAGGAGGTGTGCTAGGGATAAGAATAGGTTGGGGTACGGGTACGGGAGAAGATATATCAGTGGAATAATTACGCTTGGCATATCCTTACATCTCAGTGACGTAGAGGAATTTTTCAGTGGTATTGTTTGGTGGCTGAAAGGTAATTTATCTGTTTCCATGAACAGTTTCAGTCAAAACTTCCTTGGTAGCTCAATTTCAAGAGAAGCATGGACAATCGGAGTTAGCTTGAGTGATAGCAAATGCCAGTAGCAATCACCCTGAAATGTGTCAGTACCAATTTACCATCGAAACGAATGAGATTGGTTTTCTTACTGGTGAAAATGGGATTTCTGATCATACCATAAACACAGCAGTTTTGCAACTGAGATCACTTTTTTGAGCAAAAGTTGCTTTTTTTTATTGTATAGCTCTTGTGTTTTAGTGTTATAGGAGGAATTAACTTGCTCTGCATATAAAATAGGAAGGGCAGTACGGTCCTATAAGGATCATATCAATAAAAACCATGAACAGCCCGTTCAGAGGACTGCAAACACCAGCCGATATAATCAGGGGGCGAAATGGGAAGGGCAGTACGGGTCGTAGAAACCCTATCAGGATGATATGTCCTAAAAGTTATGAGCTGTACAGTGGAGAATCGTTTGATTCGAGGTGTTTTAGTTATAACTGGAAGTCATTCAGCACAAAACCGCATTTTTAGGGTATTCGAACTCAAACCGTATCCACTAATAAAAGCACTAGCTCTTGAATGTATGAATCTTGATATGAATCCGCAGAAAGGTGAAGCAGACTGGGTTGCGAAAGGACGAAAGCATCTCACAATGGTAGTGAGGTAAGTGATTTTACTTCGAAAAGAAATGAATTTTTGATATTTTGGTCTAACTTATTTCGTTCTAGAGAAACTTTTGTGCCATCTTTAGTAATCTTCTTGTTAATTTTCTTTTCTTTCTCTCCTCTTTCACTCTCTTTATTTTCTCTCTGTTTTCTCTCTTCGCGTATCCATCTTGCAAATTAGTTACATGACTGTTCAGTATATGGTGGGTAGGAGGCTGTACTGGCGATTCTCGCTTCTATCCGCATGCGTTGTTCGGTCTGTGTTTACAGCTAAGGGATGAAACACAAGTTACATCGTAAATGTTTTCTTACACATGACACTTCGTCCAGTCCCTCTCTACTCTTTATATTTTTCATACCTAAACCAAGTTCCGATTTGCATTTGCGCCTCGAATTAGGTCACTTCAAAGATGTTTTTTAGCGAAGTAACTATTCCGCTTACCAGGCAAGCTGCAAAAGTGAAACATTGCGAGGATATTCTATTTTCACTTGTAGTTTTAATTCAGCTTTGAGTTGAAATTCCATGCACGCAGGCATGAGAAGTATTCAGTTGGTGCATGAGAAAATCCCCGCAACATCATTAACATTGGATCTGCACCTCAGAACAGGATTTTTCTGACTCCTGGTAAAAGTGCATTTTTTTTCAGTCTTAACAAACGACATTGGGAAATTTTGCGAGCATATTTAAAACTGGCAATCAAAAATAGTCCAGCAGATCCGAAGATACTCTGGACAATTACCTATACGTTCCTTGAGCATAAATGGCCGATTCCTGTGTGGTTAACTAGAATGCATGAGGTAATGACTGTGTGCTTTAAATCACTTTAATTTTGGCATTTTAAAAAACAGATACGAATTATTTGTTATATTCCTTTTATCCATCGAGGCAGCATTTTACCTGGCAGAGTTATCACCCACTGACAGGGTTGTCGATAGTTTCCTCTTTCGAGAATTGGTTACATGCAGGCTGGTGACGAATTCGATAGTTCCTTGCATATGCCAGTACCAATTTACCATCGGAAACGAATGAGCGATTCGTGAAGGGATTGGTTGTCGTGCGAGTGAAATTGAACCCTTGGTCAATTGCACAAGAGTAGTACTGCTTTTCTGTGCAGTTAAAAGAGC